GGCTGTAGGTGCTGGGAGGCGCCGAGCGGCCGAGCCCTGCTGCTGCCCATGCTGCTCTGCGCGTGCAGGAGATTGACAAGCTGCTGTCTGGCGGCAGCGCGCTGGGCGGCGCGCCCTCAGACCCCTGGGGCCTCGGCGGCGGCGCCTTCAACGCCTTTGCGGAGCCCGGGGCGGCGGCGGCCGATGCCACCTTCCCCGCGCCCGCCCCGGCAGCGCCCAGCCCCGCCAGCACGCCGCGCTTTGGCGGCGGCGACGACTGGGGGGCGCCGCGGGCGCAGTCGCCGGGCGGCAGCAGCGCGGGCGGCGGCGGCGGCGGGTCGTGGTTTGGGGAGCAGGGCGGCGGCGGCGGCGCCGCCGCCGCCAAGGCCGTCGGCACCGGCACCGTACTGCACACGTTTGTGGGCGACTACAACCAGCCCGAGGAGCTGTCTGTGTTTGAGGGGGACAAGGTGCGCGGCGTGCATGCGTGTGTGCGTGTGTGGCGTGCTGGTGGGGGGTGGGCACGGTGGCAGCTAGGCATGTACCTTCCGGTGGTGGCGCATATGGGTCGCGGCAGCGGGCAGCGGGCGGCGGGCGTGGCTGGCCCCTGCCATCAGCTCATTCATCTGCCGCCTGCCTACCCTAAACCCTGCCCCGCTTGCACACCCCCCCGGCCTTCCCCGCCTGCCCGCCCCTGCAGGTGGAGGTGCTGGAGGAGGCGGATGGCTGGATGCTGGTACGGGACCCGGGCGGGCGGGAGGGCCTGGTGCCCACCTCCTACCTCCAGCTGGACGCCCTGTACCAGCAGAAGCTGCAGTCGGCGGCCGCCGCCGAGGCGGCCGCCGCCGCGGCCGAGTACCAGCGCAAGGCGGCGGGCACGCCCACGCGGGCGCACCGCCGCGGCGCGTCGGTGGACTGGGGCCAGCAGCAGGGGCAGAGCAAGGAGGATCTGCTGGACAACATCTTCTCCTCATACACGGGTGGGCGGTGTGTTTGTGTGTGTGTGTGCGTGTGTGTGTGCGTGTGTGTGTGTGTGGTGGCGATGGGTGTGTGGGTGTGTGGTGGTGGGTGCTCCGGTGATGCGCTGGCAGTTTAGATGGTGGGGGGTAGGATGGACGGGGATGCTGCTTTAACATTGGGGTGGGGCGGGTGCGGCCCTGGGGGGCCCTTGCACAGGCTCGAGCATTCCCTGCCACCATGTGCTACTGTGGCCCCGTGCCCTCACCGCTGCCCTGCTGCCCCCCTCCCCCGCCCTGTGCTGCTCTCTCTGCAGCCAGCCCCATGCCCGCCATGCCCGAGGAGCAGCCCGCCAGCTTCGGCGACTCATCCTCCTTCCTGGGCGGCGGCGCCAGCAGCAGCACCTACGCCGCCGCCGCCGCCGACTACGGCACGGGAGGCTCGCTGTCGCCGGTGGCGCGGCAGGACTTGTTCACGGGGGTCACGGGGCGCACGGGTGGGTGCGGTTGCCTGGCCGGGCATGGGTGTGGTGCGGTGGAGCCCGCTGGCGCTGCTGCGCGGCCCCTGGGCCGTTTCCATTCAAGTCGGGCGCGCTGGCGCTGATTACCTGCATGCATGCCTGCTGCTGCTGCTGCCTCACCCGCTGTCGCCACCCCTGGCCCCCGCTCCCTCCCTGCAGACTCAATGTGGGCGGCCCAGCCGCTGCGCCAGGACAGCCTGCAGCGCTCATCCGACGCGTATGGCGAGACGGCGGCGGGCGCCTCGCCGCGCGGCGGGGTGGGCCGCCAGGCATCCAACGCCGGCTCCGGGCCCACGTGAGCGCCTGCCTGCGCCGCCTGTGCCGCGTTCTGGCTGGCCGCGGCGTGACGGCAGCGTTCCGCGCTGCGGCGTCTGCTCTGCATGCGCTGCCGACGTTGCTGGCTGCCGATTCCTTGCCCTGGCTGGCTCCCCCCACACTGTGCTCCGCACCCACGCCCCACCCACACCCCATGCGCCCACCCCCGCCCCGTGCAGCGCCGGGCACCACCGCACGCCCAGCGGCGCCTCCTCCTCCCACCGCCGCACGCTCAGCGCGGCCAGCAGCGGCGGCGGGTTTGGCGGCGGCACCGACTTCTTTGACCAGGGCTCCATGCCCAACACACCCAGCCGCGTGGAGGGGCCCGAGCGCAGCGTGGTGGCAGGTGGGCTGCGGGAGGGTGGGACCATTGGGGGGGAAGGCGGGGGCGGGCAGGGGGCGGGCAAGCAGGCGCTCGCTGGCTGGCCTCACTCCACGCTGGCTGCGCCGATGGCCTGCCGTGTCCCACCGGCCTGCCGCTGCTGCCGCCGTGCAGGTTTTGTTGGGGAGCTGGAGGGGGAGCTCAGCGTGGAAGCCGGGGAGCGGGTCAAGGTGCACAGTGAGGTGGATGGCTGGGCGCGCGTCATACGCCTCTCCGACCACCGCACGGGGCTGGTGCCCTCCTGGGCCGTGGGCGCCGACTGAGGCCCAGGCCAGCCTGGGCCGCTTGCTGTGGTGTATGCCCTGCACGTGACCGCGACCGCAGACAGCCTGCTCTGATTCACATGCCGACGCCATGCTCCGGTAACATTCGGGCTGCGGGAGAGCCAGATGGGCGGGCACTAGCCGCCAGGAACACAAGGGGGACAGGCAGGGGAAGGCGAGCAGGGTCTTTGAAGCAACAACTCACCTGTGGAGCTTGACTGATTGACTGACGAGAGACTCAGCAGGAGAGCGGTGGGGGCGGCCAGCGGCGCCAAGTCAGCCATGTGGCACTGTCGTACCTCTTGCCTCTTTGGCTGCGTGTGCGTATTCACATCCCAATTGCGGACAGCCGGGCGCCCCGCCCTGCCCATCTGGCTTCTGCTGACACTCATATCCGTGTCTCGCCCCATTGCCCTGCTGTTCCCTGCTGGGCAACTCCACCAGTGCTGGCAGAGGCCTTTTATTGGCTGCCGCAACGCCTCGAATCCCTGGCAGCACTGCCTCGCTGCCGCCGCCTCCCTCCCACCCCACCCCCGTTGCTGCCGCCAAACCATGAAGCTGACCACCCACATCTACCTGGACTTGCTGGGAGTGGTGGAGCTGATTGAAAATATCACGACCGTCGTGAAGGACAGGCTGGGGCTGGACAAACGCCGCAGCCATGCGGAGCTGGCGGGCAAGGTGAGGCGTGCCCGTTTCCTGGCGATGTGCTACTTGGCAGCACAAACTTGACACTCGGCAGCCATGCTGCCTGCAGACGGCCATAGTCACAGGCGGCAACGCCGGGGTGGGCTACTCGACAGCGGAGGCCCTGGTGCGGCATGGCGCCAACGTTGTGCTGGCCTGCCGCTCCGCCGACCGAGGCCGGGCCGCGGCAGAGCACCTGGCTGCTGCCAGCGGCGGCGCAGCCTCCTCCAGCACGCCCAGCGTGGATGTGGAGCTGCTGGATCTCGCCTCCCTGGCCAGCGTGCGGGAGTTTGTGCGGCGCTGGGCTGCCAGCGGCCGGCCCCTGGACCTCCTGATCTGCAAGTAAGGCCGCTGCCCGCCACCACTGCCACACTGCGCGGTTTGCGCTGCCTGCCTCCTAATCTGGCACACGCACACCCGCCTGGCCGCTGCTGCAGCGCGGGCATCATGTGCCCACCGGAGCGGGTGGAGACGCGCGACGGGTTTGAGCTGCAGTTCCAGGCGCGGCGGCACTGGGAGACCACGCTGCTCTGCTCGGGTGCAGCGTTGCCTGGGGCGGTGTCGCCTCGGCTGCCAAGTTGGGCAGCCTGGATGGATCTGAGCCGGCGGTGCTCCCGCTGCCTGGCCCCTGAGCAGAGCAACTACCTGTCCCACTTCCTGCTGGCCAACGCGCTGGTGCAGCACCACCAGCAGCAGCGGCGGCGGCGCAAGGGGCGAGGCGGCGGGCCGCTGCGGGTGCTCTTCCTCACCTCCATGACCCACTTTGGCGCCGACCTGGCGTCTGACCTGGCAGACGTGCCGTACTGCCGCAACCAAAAGTGGCACTCCTTCCAGGCGTATGCCAACAGCAAGATGTGCACCCTGCTGGCTGCCAAGCACATGGACAGCCTGTTTGCCAGGTGGGGCAGGCGGGGAGGCAGCTGGCGGCAGCGGCGCTGGTGTGATGGCTCTTTTGTGCTGCATAGGTGTGGGCTTGTCAGGGGCCGTAGCTGCTCCCCTCCGGTCCTCAGCCACGCCACAACGCGATCTACCCCGCCCCCTCGTGCCGCAGGGATGCGCGGCAGGACGCTGCCTGCGGTGCGGCGAGCCGGCGCGATGCGGCGGTGGCGGTCCACCCAGGCCTGGTCGACACCTTCCTGGCGCGCGGCTACTTCAAGCAGACTGCGCCCCGCCTGCTGCGCCCGCTCACCGACCCCTTCTTCGACCACGTCTTCTGCCCTTACCTGCTGCGGAGGTGGGGAGCTGCGGTGAAGGGCTGTGGGGCATGCATGCGTCTGCTGCAGAGGCATTGACCCATCCGCCTCGACCGGGGTATGACCCATCCCATGTTGTCTCCTTGCTCCTCGCCCCCTGCTTCCTTGTGCTGTGCAGCCCCGAGGCCGCAGCCGAGACTGTGCTGTATGCCGCCGCCGCGCCGGCGGAGGAGGTGGGCGGGCGCTACTGCGGCACCGCACCTCGCGTGGGCGACTGCTCCAAGGCTGCTGAAGACCCAGCGCTGGCGCAGTGGGTGTGGAGCCTCGCCGCACACCTGTGCCAGCTGGGTCCCGACGAGCTGGTGGCGTGACCGAGCGCGGGTTGTTTGGCGCGCGCGCAGGGGTTGCTGTATCTTTAGGGCGTTGTGCACCCCAGAGATAACAGGTGTCTCCCTAACGTCCATTGGCATTAAAGGAAGGCGGGGAGGCTCACCAAGGGCAGGGGCTGTACTGCAGCGCCGTCCCGCTAGGGTTGTCAAGCGCAGTCTCTCGCGGCGGCCCCGACACTCAGCGTTGGGTCTTGGGACGTGAAAGCTTGGTAATCGCCATGCAGCGTCTGGTTGCGGGCCTCGGAAGGGCACCCTTCCTGGCCGCGCCTCTGGCGGTCGCTGCACACCCGGCCAACCCCCAGGTGCGTGTAGGTTCGGTCTGTGATGCAAGTGAGGTGCAGTGAGCGCGCGTTTGGCTACGCTAACGCTCTCAAAGCGCTGCCTCCACTGATCAGCCAAACGCTGCGCTGCCGATTTTGTGCCGCAGAATGGCGCCGGACACAGGCTGGCCGTGGAGGAGGTGAGGCTGCTGCGCCTGGAGGGGGCCCGCTCACACCACCGCCGACGGCCCCGCCAGCAGCCCCCGGCCTGACGCTGCACTCGTCGTTTGCCTTCTTGCTGCAGACCCATGACGGCTTTGTGAACATCGGTTTCGAGCAGCCAATCATGCACCACGAGGTGTCAGGAGCGCTTGTGGACCTGGCAACCCTCGGTGGCGGCCACAGGTGCACCCCGCCCCCCCGTGCAGTTTTTGTTGCGTCTACCGTGGTGTGTCGCCGTTCCAGCATTTCGCCAAACCACCACCGCAAGCCTGCCACCCTGCAGGGCCCCCACCAGCGCTTCCCTGCCAGGCCCAGCATCCGCGGCGCCGCTGATTGAGGAGGTGGACTGCGAGAGCGAGGCCAGCAGCGAGGGCTCCGACCTGAATGCCATGATCGCCTCCTTCGACTCCCACTCCCCACACAGCCCCTGCTTCGAGCCCGCTGGGGAGGGGGCCAGCGCCATGGACCTCCTGACCGCCTCCATCACCAACCTGGTGCGAAGGAGCCCTGCCAGCAGCAGGGCTGCAGTGCAAATGCCCCAGTGCCCGCAGCCAGCCAGCTGCCTGCGCGCCCAGCAGGCGTGTGGCCCGGCCCGGCGCTGGCGTCCCCGCCGCTCCCCTGCCAACCCACCCGCCCCATCCCCTGCCTTGCGCCGTGCAGCTGAACAACGACGCCGTGGTGAACGCCATCAGCTCGCAGCTGTCGCGAGACCCGGCCTTTGTGGCGCTCATGGACCGCTTCGACGCCCCCAACCCGGGCCTGCCCGCCCCCGCCCGCATGCTGCTGCTGGAAGAGGTCACCGGCGCGGGCGACGCCTACCCTGCCCCCAGCGGCGGCGAGGAGGGCGCCAGCCCGCTGGTGCTCCTGCTGCAGGGCATCCAGCGCGGCGTCGCGGTGGCGGCTGGCCGCATGGGCGAGGTACGCTTGTAGTGCCTCAGGCCTGCGTGTTGCGTTGCGCCCTGAAGCGGTGTTTGTTCTCCGTGACTGGCCCGCCGAATCGGCCAGCCGTGCCGCTCCCTGGCTGTGCAGGCCTTCTGCCACCTGGGCAACCTGCTGCGCGGGCTGGGCGAGAGTCTGTCCGGCGCCCTGTGAGTGGCGCCTGAGGGGCGGGGATAGGATCACATGTATGCCTTCTTGCTCACCCTGATCGTTTGTGTTGTGCCTGTCCTTGTTCCTTGCTTGAGCTGCCTAGACCGGCGTCCACCCACCTGTGCCTGCCTCCCGTTGCGGTGCAGGGCGGGCATGGAGGGAGCTGCGACCCCGGCTGGCGGGGCCGTCCTGGAGGGTGCCCAGCGCGGCGCTGGCAACTTCCATGCCGCCATGGGCAAGGTGGCCTGCGCTGTGGCGGTGCTGGTGCTCACCCGACGGATGGCCCTGGCTCGCATGGTTGTCTAGCCAGCCGGCTTCCCTTGCCTGTACCAACGGCGGCAGCTCGACATCCCTCGCCCAGCTGCTCGCCGCCACGAGAGGAGTATTTGGCCCACCCCAGCTCAGCCTGTCTGCTGAAGCAACGAGATGAGCAATTTTGGCCTCACCCGAGTCCCTCCCCACGATGTACAGTAACCAGTCACAAAAGATATGGGCTCGGCGCATTTGTACTGTAGCCTGTAGCCCTCTCTCAGCGTGCACGGGTTGATCCCTCGCCCTCCAGGGCCCTTCATGCCCCTCTCCCCTTGTTTCTCCACGCCGACTCACGGTGGCACCGACGCGGCTTGATGCCGCAGTGCCCCGCACCTGGCCTACTGCTGCCGGAATACCTGCCAGCTGTCTGTACACCCTGCTCTAGCGCCTGCCAATGTAATGGTCTCACACGTTGCAAAGGGGGTTGCTATAGCAAACAAGGCAGGCAAGATGCCGGAGAAGTGCACGGCTGCGCTGCGCAGTAGAGGCAGGAACGGGCGCAGCACGTCAAATGCGGGGCGGGCAGGCTTGAAAAACGGGGAAGCCCGCAGCTACACAACATTCCCTAAAAGATCTCGCAGTTCGGGAAAAGAATACACAGGGTAGCAGTCCTCTCTAAATGGCGGCACGCTTGGGCTGCCTTGGGGTCAGGTAGGGCAGTCAGAGTCAAGTGCCGGCGAGTGGGAGGACGGCAGATAGAAGGTCAGCTGAGCATGCTGCGCGCTGCTAGTGGCTAGGTGGGTAGGGTTGGAGGTCAGTAGTCCTGCTGCTGCATTTGCTGCGTGTTCGTTCATTCGTTATTGTCCCAAGGAGTCGTGCATGAAATGTGTGTGGTGGCGGGCCAGCAGTGTGGGCCACCCGGTGGTGCTTCCAGTGCAGCTCCCGCTCGCTACTGCGTGCTGGCCTGCTCTGAAGCCGAGTAGATCTCCAGGCAGGCGTCGCAGGACTGCACGGCGCCCGGGTGGGGTCACACATGTGCCGGCCGGAGCTGTGACCCAGGGCAGTGCTGGCGCCAAGAAGCAACAACGACATGCCTGCAGCCAGCCGGCCAGCCGGCCAGCCCTTGCATGCGCAGCAGCGGCCCCCACCTTGACGCAGCTGCCGGGGCGGTCGCGGGTCCCAATCATAAACACCTTGTTGTTCTCGCACTCACCTGCACAGGGGGCCAGCAAAGCCACAAAGCGACCGGCTGGCTGGGGACAGCGCCACGCCAGACACTACAGTAAACTGAAGACAGCCAGACGTAGCAGGAGGAGCCGACCCCGGCCAGCCAGCCAGGCCCCCCCGCTCACCGTTTGCGGCCCACTGCTCGCAGTTTTCGTCCGCGTCCTCGCACCCCAGCAGGTTGCCGACCTTCTGGGGGTGCTGCGGCACGGGCACCGCCGCCTCGCCGCCCATGGCGTAGTGGCCTACCTGCGGGCGGCGGCAAAGAGGGGGCGGGGGCCGGGGGCTGGCGAGGGGAGTGAGCGTGGTATCGGCGGCAAGCAAAGCACCCCTGCTTTGCTTGCCCATACCGAAGTACACAGCAGAGCCAGGGCGCTGCAGGCCCGCGCCGCCCCCCCCCCCCCCCCCGCCTGCTCCCCCGCTCACGTGGATCCACTTGGGCGCCGACCACTTCTCGCCCTTGACCACGGGGCAGGCGGTGTGCAGGGAGCGGCGCTCCAGGTCGCCCGAGGGCTTGATGGAGTGGAAGAGGACGGCGGAGCCCTTGGTGGGCTTGGCCGCCAGGTGGCGCCGCGCGCACTCGGTGAAGGTGGGGCCGTTGTCGCCGCCGGGGGCGGGGATGTTGGGGAACACTGCGGCGCAGGCGGCGCGGGGGACGGGGCGGGAGGGCTTTTGGAACCCTGGAACCCGGGCAGGCGTGCTTGTGTGGCCATCTGCAGCGCCAGCGGCTGCTCCCCTGCCTCCTCCCGTCTCGCCCTGCCGCGCCGTGCGGCAGGCGGCGCGCGGGCGCAGGCGCGGGCAAAAGCAGGCCTGGCAGTGCAGGCCTGGCGGGCAGCGTGCACGCCCAGCTGGGCCACAGCAGGCCCGGGCCCCGCCCCTGCCCGGCGGGAGCAGCAGCCGCGCACCCGTCTCCCCGCCCTCCTCCACAGTGTTGAGGTACATGAGGACGGTTGCGTAGCGGTTGCCGCCGTTGCTCTCCCCGTTGACCTTGTCAAAAAAGTAGTCTGCGGGGGCAGGTGGGTGGTGGCAACAGGCAGGCCGATCAGCCAGCCAGCTTCGGGGGCCGCAGGGGGTCGCCGCAGCCATGCTGCCGCATCCCCTGCGCCCCCAGGCCATCCATATTGTTGTTGTCTTGCGCCAGCCGGGAGCTCACCCCAGTGAGCTGCAGGGGTGGGGGGCACAGGGGAGGGAAGGGGAGGGGGTGAGGGGAGGCAGCAATGCGGGGCAGGCGGGTGGGCAGGTGGACAGGCGGGGCAGGCAAGGCAGGCACGGGGGGGCCCCTCTAAGCACCAGGCTTACCATCGTACTTCTCCCCCGGGTGGTAATTCTGCGGGGGGGGGGGAGGGGGCACAACGGCGGTGGGTTGGGAGCACGGCGGCGCGAGGCCAGCACCCCCCCGCTGCCATTCGCGCTGCGAGGTGGTGGGCGCCGGGTAGGCCAGCCCAAACGCTGGCCGGCACCCTGCCCCCGTCCCCAGCTGCACGCGGTGGCGCCCCTGCCGCCGCTCCCATGCTCCAGCCCACACGCCCCGAGCGCGCTCACCAGCACTTGCAGGCCCTCGCCGTTGCCCACGGGCAGCAGCGTCCAGCGCGCGATACGCTCCTCGATGGCCGCCACCGTGTCGTCGTGGCCGCGCTCCAGGAACATGCCCTTGGAGGTGCGGATGTCGGAGATTTCGGAGCCGCCGGTGGCGGTGTCCACCACACCCGACCGCTCCAGGTGCGGCTTGGCCAGCGCCACAATGTGGTCGCACTCCTCCTCGGTCAGAAAATTGCTGCATGTAGTGACGGTGAGGGGGAGGTACAGGCGGGGGGAGGAGGGAGGGAAGGGAGGGTGGCGTGAGGGACGCAGGGTGGGGGAGGCGCGGCAGGGAAGGAGGGGGGTGCAGCCGGAAGCGGGCCAGTGCAGGGCTCGCTGGCCCGCTGCCGCCGGCTCGCCAGGAACCGCCCCCACTCGCCTACTCACTGGAACATGAAGATGCGGGCCTCCGCGTCCAGCACCTGCATCCAGGGGCGCTTGGGGTCCTGGGCTGCAGCAGGGAGGTGCGGAAAGCGTTCAGCAGGAGGGGCTGTGGGAGGCGCAGGCGGCGGGAGGCGGCGCGCCATGCACGGGCCCAGCGCGTGGCTGAGCTTCACACCCAAACGGCGACAGCTTTACAAGCCCCTGCAGTCAGGGTTTGGCTGTCTGACGTGCCCACAGAAGCCAGGACGGGCGCTGCCAAGGCGCAAGCCCGAGAGCCGCACCTGTATCCTGGCTAAGCGCGCAAAGGAAGGACGCCTGCAGTGTCAGCAGCGCTGTCAGTCCAAGGGACAGCCGCATCGTGCCTCAGTGCAGCGGGAGACGAGAGTATGTGTGTGGGTGCTGCTGTATGAAGGGTTTGCAGGGCTGTGCGGCTCGCAAGTGACTGAATAGAGCTCGGCCTGCAGTTCTGGATGGGTCCCGCTGTTCGCTGAAACCAGGTTGCGTGGCCGCGCAGGACACAGCAGGGTGTTGCCAGAACCACAGCAGGGTGTGCCCGTTTCAACACTCTGCCGATATCTAGGATAATGTCGGGCTCAGGCGGGCTCTTCGGCAGGGTCTCCATCGCGGGTGCGCGCTATGGCCCTTCTGCGGGATCTCAAACACCGAATTGAGGCTCCTGCCGATGCTCAGTGTTGCTTGATCGACTCGCTCCTGGTCCCCTCCTGCAGGTGGAGGGCCGCTGACGGCCTTGTTGGAGCTGGCTGGCGGCCTGGTGACCAGGTGAAGCGTTCTCCATTGCAGTGGGTGCCAGCTGGGGCAGGCCAAGAATGGCGGTGGAGCGCCGGCGCCACCGCCGCCACCGCCTGGCCGTGTCGCCGCTCACTCTGCTTCACTGCCCTGCCTTGCGCCGCCGCGTCACCGTCGCAGGCCGCAGCCGCAGTATGCCACCCACGTGCCGCTGAGCGGGCTGGAGAAGGGCGCGGTGGCACTGCTGTCGCTGTGGGGCGCGTTCCGCGACCCGCGCCGGGGCGACCTGGTGGCCGCCAGCGGCGAGACGACCGGCCTGCCGGCCATCTACGCCATGAGGGAGCGCATGCGCCGCTCCGAGACGGGCCGCCGCATCCTGCAGGACCGCCCGCTCATCACGGTGCGCGGCCGCTGTGGGTGGGCGGGCGTGAGGCCATTGGGAGAGCCACGCAGCCGGCCTGCCAATCCCAGCCTGCCTTCAGATGCCTGGTTGGTTGCCGGGCGTGCCGCTTGCTTGGCTAGCGCCACTACCTCGTATGGAACAGAAAGTGACCTCCCAGCCTGCTCGCCTGCCTGCCTGCAGGATGAGGTGGTGGCGCCCTGCTGGGACATGCCGCAGCACACCTTTGGCGGCGCGTATGCTCGCTTCATGGGCACACGCGGCTTCCTCGCCTCGGGGCGACCGCCCTGCAGGTGTGCGGCTGGTCCTCTGGGGTGGAACCCAGCAGATGGCATGCTGGCGGCTGTGGCACATGGCGGGCCCCTTGGCCCGCGACTCAGGCCTGTGCACCGCAATGCCGAGCCTCTCCTCCCCCCCCCTGGGTGCCCACCCCACCATGCGCTGCGCCGACACATGCCCCGCCACATGCCCCGCACCCGCTCACCTGCCCGCCGTGCGCCGCAGGTTCGTCGACGACCCGGAGCTGGCCTACATCATCACCCGCGCCCGCCAGGTCCACGACTTCTGGCATGTCATCTTTGGCTGCCACACCAACGCGTTTGGCGAGACGGCGCTCAAGGCGGTGGAGTTTGTGCAGGTGGGTGGGCGGGTGGCTGGGTGGGCGGGCGTGGTGGTGCCTGCAAGGAACAGGGCAGCATGGCATGGTGGACAGGGCCGTGGAAGGCGGCCAGCAGGCCACGCTGCAGCTGGTTGTGGCACCGTGCAGGACTGTGGCTGCCTGCGTGCCAGGCCATAGGCTTACCACGCCAGCCTGCGCGACAGCTGCCTGGCCTGCTGCCCTGGTGACCTGCCCAGCTGCTCCTGCTGCGTCTTCCCGCCCGCAGACGGGGCTGCCCATGACGGGGCTGGCGGTGCTGGCGGGAGAGTGGCGCTTCAGGCCCGAGGACCGCCGCCTGCTGAACGAGCAGTTCCTGCCGTGGGCGGTGCGAGCGGGGGCCCGCGCCCCCGACCTGATGTGCATCTACTACGAGGAGCACTTTGGGGAGAGCCTGGAGGAGCTGCGCCTGCGTTGGCGCATCGAGGTGGCCCCTTCCACGCCGCAAAACACGCAAAAGCTGCAGGCGGTGAACGCCCAGGCAGCGGCGGCGGCGGCGGCAGAGGGGGTGTCTGGGGATGCCGCTGCGCCTGCGTGATGGGGTGCCAACTTGCTTGCCTGTACAATTATCTGTGTTTGCCATTGATTTTGCAGCCCTGTATTTCATGTTTCTTCATTCACTCTCTGTTTCTCGCTGCTCAATGCATGCCGCTGCCGCTTTGCTGGACCGCATAGCGGGGGGCAGTGTTTCTGAAAGCTGGCGAAATCGCCAAATGCTGGCGAAATCGGGCAAAAAACGGCTCTGGCTGGCGATTGGCCGAAGGCCATCGCGCCAGGCGCAAGGGTGGTTCCCCCGCATTTCGCCAACCCCCACTGTGCCATCGCCAGTTGATTGGCGAAATTTGGATGCGACAGCGGTCCTCATCGCCAGCCCATCGCCAACGCTGCCACGAGGGCCAGAAACACTGGCGGGGGGCATGCCCTTGCTCTACTTTTGTCTTTGCTCTACCTTTGTTTACTTTACTAGCCGAGGTTACTTGTCACAGGAATGGGCAGGGGCTACAAAGGCAGGGGAGGAGGCGGTAGGGGCAGGGGCAGGGGGCGAGGAGGAGATGACGACGGCGACTACCGCCCTCCTATTGGTGGGTGACTCTGCTGTGTCGAGGGTGCAGAGGCCGCTCCAGCGAGCTGCCCGCGCTGATCTAGCACATGACGCAGGCTCCCTCTGTCCCAGCAGAATGGGAGGAGCTTGATGCTCTGGGGCAGGCGTGCATGGCAGCGGGCACACACCTGCACCCCCAGAACGGGCGGCGCGGCGCTCTCGCCTGCCGGCGTACTGCCCGTCACCGTTCACGGTCTGTGGCCTGCAGGCGGGCAGCCATCCACGGCCGGCATGCTGCCGCCTTCAGACAGTGAAGACGAGGACAGCGAGTCCAGCGGCGGCGAGGAGGAGAAGCCCAAGGTGGCGATGGTCCAGGTGAGCGAGGAGAGCAGGCGGAGAGCGGAGCGTGAGCTGCGGCTGTGCAGCAGCCTGCCGTCGATTCATCTGCACCAGCTTCTACTCAAACGGCTGCCTCACTCACCCCCTGCCGCACCCTCCTCCTCAATCTGGCCCACCCGCAGAACCCCAAGGCCGGGCAGATGCCAACAGACTCTGAGGGTGCGCCTTGCAGCGCTTGCCGCCCAGCAGGCGCTGGGTTGTGTGTGTGCCCTTTTGGCTGCACCCCTGGCCTGCTCATGCCATGCATGCTGGACGGCCATCCTGGCAGCGCAACCCGTGGGATGGACCCTGCCTCACCTGGCCGCCTCGCCCCCGCAGAGGATAGCGAGGAGGAGAGCAGCAGCGAGGAGGAGGCGATTCCGCAGCGGCCCGCGCCCGCGGCGGTGCCGCGGCGCAAGAAGGGCGAGGAGGAGCTGGATCCAGAGCAGATGCGCCTGGACATGGAGCGGCTGGCGCTGATCAGGAAGAAGCGGTGAGGGCTCGGGGCCGGGGGGGGGGGGGGCATGGGGGCATGCAGGGGCATGTATGTGTCTTCATGAGCCGGCGGGAGGGAACGAGTGCTGCTGGGCTGGCACCGCGCCCACTGCTTCTTTGTGGGGTGCTGTCGCTGATGGTGGGGCGGCTCTGCCTTGCGTGCGCCACCCGGGGGCGCTGCCCTGGCATGCAGGGAGGAGGACCGGCTGAAGCGCATCGCGGAGGAGGGCTTCGACCGCTTTGCCCCGCCAGGGTCTGAGGGCACCGGCCGGTGGGTGCGGCTGGCTGGCCTGGCTGGCTCTTGTGCAGGCCAAAGCCACTCGCTGTCGCTGCAGGGCGGTGATGTCTTCATGCATGTATGCTTGTCAGCCCATTTCCGTGACGGTGCGTCTCCTTGCTGCCCGCTGGATTTCAGGCCGCTGCCCAAAGACCACCCGTCTGTGAAGAGTAACGAGTAGCTGTAGTACAGCATCAGATGCATGCAAAGGGAATGCATCTGTGTATTCAACAATGGTCGTGACCGGTCAGCCGAGCGCCGACGCTTTCCTACAGCACGTTCATGCAAGGCACTGCGCCGGCGGGAGCGGCGCATCGTAGCGCAGATGCTGCTTCTGTGCTTCCGTGCGGTGGATGAGTGCACCATCTTTCTGTAAAGTGCACCAGTTGTGGGCGCTGCTTGCTGCGTGGCTGGTTGTGGTCGGCAGGTTGGTGCCTGCCTGCCGCAGTGCGCAAAAAGCAGGCCTGCCTGTGGCGGCAGCAGGGGCCTCCAGCCAGCAGGCTAGTAGCCAAGGCCTGTTGTGCTTCTGTTTGGTTGCGGAGGGGCATAGGAAGGGGACGGCCGACCCGCATGTCGAACGGGGTTTTGGACTCCGGCGCGCCATATCAGGCGGTTGACCCCGCCAAGACCTTCAGGTGGCCGGTCAATGAAGGGACAGCCGGCGCAAGGCTCTACGGGAGCCAGAGGAGCCAGAGAACGGCCGTAGCGAGAAACGCCGAGACCGGGGGCGATCGATATCTGAGAAAGATCTTTTGATCCGACGTGGACCACCCAGCTCTCAAACGGCGTTTCCGCCCTCCTCGCTCGTCTCGTCACCATCAGGACCCAACTCGCCACCCATGGGAGCCACCCAGTGAGCTGTTCCCTCCCCAACCCTTCACGCCCATTTTTTGGGCTCCTCCCTCTGCCAGAAGCGGGTCGGCGCTCCTTATGGCAAACTTGCTATACCAGAGCCTCCAACCGGGGCTGGAAGAGGTGCGCCTGGGCCCCGGAGCGGGCCGAGCACAGTGCCCCCGCCGTGGGGCCTTTCGGCGGCGTGAGAGGGCCTTCGCCAGGCCCCTCGCCGCCCCAGCCCGTTCACGGCCCACGGGGAGCAGCCAGGGCTGCGGCGCGGGGCAAACGACCGCTGGCAGGGGCCTCGCGTGCGCCTGGTCGGGTTGGGTCTGGACCTTTTTGCAGAGCCTGGGAGGTTGGGCGCGGCGCCAGCCAGCATGCCGGCACATTGCGCTGAGGCGTGTGGGTAACCACAGAATGCCTGCCCCTGCTGGCTGGTGCAGGACCTGTTCGCCGCCGATGCCGCGTACGCGGCGGCAGCCGTGGGCCTCAACAGCGCGGATGAGAGCCTCCCCTACAGCACATCGGAGCTGAACGCGCCGGAGTACTCCACAGACGACTTTAGGATGTTCCAGTTCAAGGTGCAGACTTGAAACAGGGGCGGGGACGCGCGCCGCATTTTTCGTGCGGTGCAGCACACGCCGGCGCACATCCTTGGGTTGCAGACCTGCAGCATGGCAGAGCCCTCAGCCATGCAGCCTGGGCTGACCAACGATGCGCTGCGCAGCTGCGGCGCGGCCCAGAGCCGGCAGCCGCTGCAGCATGCGTCCCCGACAGCTGGCTGGCGCCCGCCACCGCTGCCCCCGCCCCGGCGCCTGGCTCCTCCCTGCCCTCGCGCCCTCTGCCCGCCCCACATGCGTGCTCATCCGCCGCTGGCCACGCCCTGCCCTCGCTTCCTGCGCAGGTGGCGCGGTGCAGCAAGCGGTACGTGCACGACTGGCGCGCCTGCCCCTTTGCGCACCCCACCGAGAACGCTCGGCGGCGCGATCCGCGCCTGGTCAAGTATCTGCCCGTCGCCTGCCCAGACTACAAGCGCGGCATCTGCCTCAGGTATGGGGCGCCGCCCGCGCTCCGCGGGACGTGCGCAGCTGGGCTGTGGGGGCGCTGGGCGGCAGCGGGGGGTAGCCGGCACACGGCTGCGCAGCGTGCAGGGCGCGCCGCGCTTGCCGCACTGTTGCCGCGCTGCCGCTGCCTGGTGCCTGCCTGCCCGCTGACCGCCTGCCCGGCCCGCCTCGCGCCGCCCTGCCTGCCGCAGGGGCGACAGCTGCACCTACTCTCACGGCGTGTACGAGTGCTGGCTGCACCCGGCCAAGTACCGCACCCAGCTGTGCAAGGAGGGCCCCAACTGCCGCCGCCCCGTCTGCTTCTTCGCCCACTCGGTGCTGGACCTGCGCCAGCCCTCCCACAGCATGTACGCTGCCAGCGGGGGCGCGCCGCCCGCGGCGGCGGCCGCCGACGACGCCCAGGGCGCGGCGGTGGCGGCGGCGCTGTCGCAGCAGACGGCGGCGGCGGCGGCGGCCATGGCCGGCGCCCGCCTCTCCGCCGACGCCTCCTTTGGGCGGCTCTCCTCCGAGGAGATGCTGAACAACATACAGGGGCAGGACAGCCGCAGCCCCAGCGAGGTGCTGGCCGCGCTGCCCGCCGCCGCCACCGCCGCCGCCGCGCTGCTGGCCCGCTCCCCCTCCTCGCGCCAGTCCAGCGCCAGCCTGACGCGCAGCTCCTCCGACACGCGGTGAGCCCCCAGCCCCGCCCCTGCCGCCCGCCGCCTGCTGCCTGTGCTGGGCAGCCGCCGTGGCCGCTGTGCGGGCCTGCCCGCGCCTGGCTTGGGCAGGCGCCAGCCTGCCTGTCGCACGAGCACGAGCGGGGCCTGCCAGGCACCGCACCATGCCCGCCTCCAACCTCTGCCTCCCCTCCCAATCTCTGCCTCACCTCTGCCCCGTGTGCCTCTCCTGCCCTCTCCCTGCAGGCCCGTCGGATCCGCGCCGCACTCCCCTGCGCGCTCCCGCTCCCCGCCCTCCCCCACCCCAAACCCCCCTGAGCAGCCCGCCCGGCAGCGCAGCGCCGACGCGGCCGCGGCGGCCGCCGTCAGCGACGCGGCGGCAGCCATGGCGGTGCTGACGCAGCAGCAGCAGGCGCAGGCGCAGGCCGCCGCCGCTCAGGCTGCCGCCGCTCTGGCCCGCCTGTCAATGGAGAGCCGCGCCTCGCTGGACGCCTCTGCGGCTGCGGCGGCGGCGGCGGCCACCACCAAGGCCATGCTGCAGGGCGGCGGCAGCGCCAGCCTGCCCCCCCGCATGTCTCTGGACAGCCTGCTGGCCAGCCGCCAGGCGGCGGCGGCGGGCGGCTGGGCGCCCGGCGCCGCGCCGGCTCCGCCCACCGCGGCCGCCGCGCTCGCCTCGGGCACCTCCTCCCTGCCGCTCAACGAGCAGCCCTTCCCCTCAGGCAACGCGCCGCGCATGTCCAACGCAGGTGAAGTGTGCGCCTGCACACGCGCCTGCCGGCCACCCATCCCATCCCCACGCCCGCATGCCGCACCCTGCCTCCCGCCCCTCCCTGTCTCGCCCACACACACAAGGGCTTGCCGACCCAGCTCCCCAGCCGCCTCCCCTCCACCTCACACCCCCCTCCACCTCCCCTCCCTGCCCCCC